CCCCCCCCCCCCCCCCCCCCCGCTTCTACTTTATTATCCTTTCTCAGACTCTGAGTTTGTAATAAATTCAAAGCCTGGAAACATGTATTTCTCTCCTAACCCTCTTCTACCTCTTGGTGTACCTATTCTATATTATCCCTCATAGATTATTAGAATGCACTATTTTAACCATATCTGCATTAAAGTAATTTTCCCAATTAAATCCCTGTCTCAATCTTAAATTATATTAACTTGCATAGAGGCAGAAGAAGAAACTTTAAGAATCACAGATGCGTCAGGACAAAATTGACATTTGTGGACATCTTGTACAATTCACATACAAGCAAAATTTTAAAATGGGGTTTTCTTGAAGGAAAGCAAAAACAGAGATTTCCCAAACTGTTGAGAATGTAACAGCGGAGGGAGAGGAATTTTCCGACTCTTTTACCCTGGGTCTATCTCTGTCCTTCTTGAACAAAACAATGGTGTGATGCTGCTGACTCGTCCGAGGCACAGCCGACCGTCACTCGCTGCCTCTGCTCTTCCGAGCATCAGGCTGCAATTCTCAAACTTCTGAACAAGTCTCATCTTCTCCAGAATTAAGGATTAAGGGCCCTGCGAAGTCTCAGTCTTCTTTCCTGCAAGAAAAGCATCTTCAGGTGAACAAATCTAAGAGGTGGGGCAAAGCCTTGGACCTACTTGTGAGGCAGTGTGGGGAGAAAGGAGGCTCTTTGGAGATGTGTCTCTGCAAGAGTGGGCATCTTGCAGTGTCAGGGGTTTAAATTAAAGTGGGGGGGTGGAGGGGGAAGACCCCTCCCGCTGCCTGCAGTGTTGACTCTTGGCATCACTTCGGTACAGGGACCCAGCTGACACTTCTTATTTTGGGTCCTGCCTCTCCAGCATCAGTCTGCAACTTGCCGGCGTCTGGGCAGGACGGCAGCTGCTGATCAAAGGACAGAGGTAACTTTCAGGGAGGGGTGTGTTGGTTTTGGGATGCTAGATTCGGGAATTGACAAACTCCTTAGACAGACGGCAGAAAAATTCCCTTTCCTTTGGATTTCAAAAAGCTCTCTGCTCTAAGAAGCTGGAGTCCTCTCCCTGCACTTTGCAGAAACTCTGGGCTCAATGAACTCCATCCAGATCCTTCCCCCCATGGCTTTCCAGCAGAGCAATGTAGAAAAAGCTGAGTCAGTTGCTCACAGGAGTAAATTTAAAAAAATAATTTATAAACGCTGTTCGAATTATTTTTTTTAAATGGGGTTTCTTTCTCATGTTGGTTTTACATTTGCACTTTATGTTATAATTAAGCTACAAAGAATATAAGTTTGTGGAGGAAATTTTGGTGTTGGTTTTATGATTTAGGAAAAAAAAAAAACTACTCCATTGCAGTCCTGCTGCAGTCCCAGCAACCTGGTTTAACTGCAGAGGCTATCACGGTGCAGCCAGCCTCTCCTCTTTACCCTTGCCGGAGTCGGGTGTCTGATTCCACCCGCCCCACTGCTCCAAGCCCCTGTCCCCCACCTCCTTGCCCACCCACCCTCTGCAAAGGACCCCGGTAAGTGAGCTGATGTCAGTGACGGTTGGCGTTTGAAGGAGAATTTGGGCACTGCAGCTTTAAGAATGCCGTACTGCGAAATCTTTCTCCTTCAAGTGACTGCAGAACCACAGCAGTAGCAGCAGCAGCGGGAGGAGGCAGCTGGAGGAAGAGGAGAAGGAAAAGTAGGAGGAGGAGGAGGGTGGGAAGGAGGGAAGGGGTGCCCACTCTCGGGTCAGCTTGTCGGGTGCCTCAGACTGGGGAGCGCTCAGCCCCAGGTAAATCAAGCACAATCAGGACGTTCACTTTCGGTTAGTTTCCTTCTCCCACATGCTGGGGGCGGGGACCCCGCAGACTTACTGATGAGTTTAAGCTTAGTCCTTGCCTGGATGCGCGTCATCCTGCGTGTGCATTTGTGTCTGGCTAGCTGGCTCTTTAAGCCATGTGCAATTGGGCTGGAGAATGCGGGTCTGATCTCTGTCGTGATCTTTCTCCAGCCTGGCTTGAACCCTGGGAGCACAGATGCAGCCTGACTACCTTATTCTTGGGGGTGGAGGTTTTCTTCTTTGGGGTTTTACTGAGATGAGCTTTGGAGGGAAACTCGAAACAGAATGATTTGTGATCACAGGGACAGACGCTGCAGCATTTAAGAACAGGATGAACCCCCTTCCGTGTTGCTGGCAGGTGTTGAATGACGATGTCTGGGGTGCCAGGCAGTGGGGGAGGGGACTCCATAAGGGGCTCGTCTAGACGGGATCGCACAAAGCAGCAGAAAGCACACTTTGGGCAGTGTCTTTTTCTGGAGAAATGGCACTAGCAGCCCGAGGCATCTGAGCTCTGGTCCCTGGGACCCAGACTCCTGCACCCCCAGCCGAAGGGCCTCCCCAGAGCCAGTTGCTGCCTCAGTTGCTGCCAGTTGCTCCCCCAGGCTGGCACTGTTTGTGTGGCATTTTTAGACACGGGGTGCTTGGAGCCAGGTCTGCAATGGAGGTGATATCAGGTAGGGCCAACTGTGGCATCTGCCCAGGTGGTGCCAGGCACTAGAGGGTTGAGCTCCCTGTGATGCTTCCCACAGCAAAATGGTATCTTTTTACAAAAAAAAAAAAAAAAAAAAAATCTAGGTGTCACAGTAAATCAGCTCAAAAGATGAGCAGCAACCTCTTGGATATAAATTATCCAGGCAGGCCCCTGAAACAGTAATTGGGCAACACGGGCCAAGGCTGGCGGAGGGGCATGATCTCCATGGGTCCCTGCCTATGTTCTGGTTCTCACTAGAGACGGGAGCCTGACTTAAAACCTCAGCCTTAGAAAACTTGCCTGCACACTGGCCGGTGCTGCTGGTGTTGAAGCTCCTTGGGGCATGAGAGGTGCTCATACGAAACACTGCAGGATTTGGAGAAATGGGGCTCACAGACAAATATCTTATGGGTTCTTAGACTACCTAATCACCTAGACTGCAAAAGCACTCTGCAGGCTGAATGCAGCCCCCCTTGCCCCAAATCAGGAGCATCTTTCTACTGGCTGCTTTCACAACCCCATTCATCCTCATAGCCCTTTCTCTTGTTCCATTTAAAAAATCTATTCCCTGTATATTTAAAACCATCTTTGACTCATGCCCATAAATCTGCAGCAACTTTAACTTTCCAGACTAATGTTCTTGGGCACAAATGAGTTTGAGCCCAGCACACGCAAATGAGTCATTGGGGTCCCATGCACCAGGGTCTTTGAGAGAGAGAGCTGGAGAAAGGCCCCTGAGTCAGTATGGTGTGGTCCGAAGATGGAGCCTTGCTTATGCATCAGGTTGGACCCTAACCCACCCCAACCCCCAACCCTCAATCCCAAAAGCTGCTAGGATGGGCCTTTTGTTTGTGGACTTGTAGTTTTCCCTAGTCAGTGGGATGGAGGTGTCCGTGACCTCACCACCCTGGGGAGTGAGAGAACAGAGTTGGCATGCCCAGGCAAACCCCTCTCCCATTCGGTGCCTCCCTGCCAGCCTGGATGACAGGCATCCTTTCCATCTGGAATTATCCAAGGGAAAGACCTGCTGGCAATTGGTGCGAACAAATGCCACTGTTGGTCCCAGCATCCTGTCCATATCTGCTAGTCTCCGGTCACGTAGGGGGAGGTCACCTAAGTGAGACAGGAACTTCACAAAGGTGCTCTGAGGGGGAGCAAATGACCCCTGAGCCCAGCACCCTGACATGGTGGGGCTTGTGCAATGAACTAAACACACTGCCAGTAAATGGACAAGGGGCGGCTGCCCTGGCTTCTACAAACTTCTCATTGCGAGAGCCTCCTTCCCTCCAGCAGGTGTAGTCTGGGCCAAAGTGACCATATAAGATGGTTGGGAAGAGGAGATGCAGCAGCCAAGGTGACATGAGACTCTCAGAGATAAACAGGTATAGGGGGCGGGAGGGGCCTAGCTCCTGGACACTTGCATGTGTCAGGCAGCAGAACGGGGCAGCCCGCTGCTCAGTAGCTGGTAAGGCCGGAGCTGACCCAGGACAGTGAGGGGCCAGCACTTACCAGGTTTCCTCAGGCATAAAGTCCAATGCAGTGAACGAAGTGATGACCACCACCCCCTGGACCCCCGTGTCAGACCAACTAGCTTCAGGGCCGCCCTTGTCCCAGTCCACGTTAGATCCCGGTGGCCTTGAGCCTGACCCCACAGTAACATCTAGGCGTTCACAGGGGCCTGGGATGGACTTGAAAAAGAATTCTCTGTCTTTCCCCCCCCCCCCCCACCCGAGTCCCCAGAACAGGGCGCATTACAGTCCAGTAGTTATTGAGGGAAAGGATGAGGCTCCAGCTGGTCCCCAAATGCGGTGGGGGCTGTGGGTGTTTTGGTCAGATGTCCCAGGTGGACAGGGCTCCCCGGGACACCTCCCAATGCACCAGTGCTGACTCAGGGGCCTTTCTCCAGCTCTCTCGTGTCCCGCCCCCCGTCAACTGCCCCAGCATTGGCCAGCCGAGCCCTTGGCTGCCGGGTCCTCCGGTCCTTGCGCAGGGGCAGTCGGACTCAGGCTGCTGCGGGTCCTCCCCCAGTCCCCGCCGCCGCCGCCGCCTGGGCCAAGTCAGCAGTGCTGACAGCTGCGGGCTGCAGGGCGGCGGGCGATGCGGAGACCCTGCGCCACCGCTCCGGGCGGGCGGGCGCCTCTGCCGCGCTCGCGTCCCGACGGCCACTCCCGGCGGCTGCGCGCAGCCCGCGCCAGACCGGGCGGCGGCGGCGCTGATTGGCGCAGTGGAGAGTCGCCGGCCCTCTGGAGTTGGGGCTGCAGGCAGGAGCGGGGCCAGGGTGACAAGTGGAGAGCGCCGCTCGGGGCTCGTGCCCGCCGGATTCGCGGCTCCTCGGACGCGCCGTCTCCGCAGGCGCTTGGGGACTGAGCGCCCACCACGTGTGGGACGCGCGCCGGGGCAGCTCCGCGGGAGAATCGGACGGACCCTCGGAAGAGTCAGGAAGGCTTCGAGCCGAGCCGAGGGAGGCTGCGTCCCGGGCCCTGGCTTTGGATCTCGTGCCCTGAACCACAGACGCCAGTTTGGAAGGCAAGGCCGCCTTTCTGGTTGGGGGGTAAGGAGGGGATTCCCAACTCACGCATCCTCTTGGGTGAGGGCGAAGGGACCTTCCGGGACCATAATCTTGAATGCTCCCGCTCATGACTTCTGGGACAGCCTGGGAGACTAACAGAAGCTCAGAGGTGGTGGCAGAAAGGTTCTTCCCCCCCGATGCCACGTAGTTAGTTGCCTGAAGGTTGGGTATGGGGGAAGTCCAGCTTTCCCTGCAGAGGGAAACCGAGCCAGCTAACGTGGGTGGGGTCCAGTAGCTGCTGACACCCTGGGTGATGTGATGGGCTTAGGTGACAGGAGCCAAGGGCCTGGCAACAGAGAGGGCAGCCCCAGGGGGTCCAGACAGCACCTTCTGCCTGGGGGCAGCCTGTGGTGTAAGTCTTTATGCCAGCAGCATGAAAAGCTGCCCAACTAATTCCCGGGGGTGTGTTCTTGGCAAAAGCCCTGTCTCCCCACAAGGTGGGGAGCAATGTGACGCTGCTTACACGAGCCTGCTCTTCTGGGGTGCTCATTGTGTGAGACGGTTCAGAGACTGATGCCTCTTACTGTCCTGGACCCTAACTTCTGCTGAAAGAACCTCCATCCTGGTGGCTGCTTTTTCCTGTCCCCAGGCTTTGGGTTGAGTGTTTCCACCTTGGAGGCTGTCCTTGGAGCCTGCACTGCACTGGGGGGGGGAGGGGGAGGAGGGACTGGAGAGGGGAGGAGCAGTAGGTGGCTGGGGTAGTGGGGCCTGCACACCCTGCTGCGTGCTGATGTCATCAATTTTGGGGGCCTGCTTGGGCCTGTGGCTGCTCCAGAACTGGCACCAGGAGCCCTCTTGCTCAGGCTGGGACAGGCACAGCACTGCAGCTGCCAGTCTCCCTGACAAGGACGCAAGGAGAGGCGGATCTCCAGGAGACTGCCTGCACCCTCCAGGCACAGCCAACTGGCCAGCAGAGTCCCTGCAGCTCCTCCGGGGACCAGGGTATAAGGAAAAGGTGAAGGCCAGGAGAGCAAGTAGGCCTAGTTTTCCACTGCTGAGAGGATGCTGGTGGTATTCACCTGGCGAGGTGGCAGCACCCAGACTCTGGAAGAGGGGGAGTATCCGGGAGGCAAGTGGGGGGCCACAGGGAAAGACTCCAAGGTGCTGGTGGAATCCTAGGGCCACGGTAACAGATCCTGAGCCATGGCACTTCCCCACCGACCGTTTTTGTTTTTCACCCAATGCAGAGTCAACAGTTGCTGTGCTGATCTCATGCTCTGCAGATCTGATTAGGGATCAGATCCTGTCTTTTCGTGTATGCACATCAACTTTAATCCCGGCCACCCAAGGCACGGTAACCTCGCAGATGCTCTAATCAAAGCTGGAATATACTTAGAAATCATCTGTTCCAAGCTCTGAGATGAGGACGGTGAGCCCAGAGATCAACCGCCTTTCCCAAGGACACCGGAAGCTCAAGGCCGAGCTGGGATTCCCTGGGACATGTTCCGACCTAGCATGTGGAACGAAGATGAGATCATCAGCGTTGGACCCATCAGGCGCCCTGACTCAGGTGAAATAGGACAAGGTAAGGAAATTGGGGACCAGGAGGTGACACAAACCTGGGGTCCCAGTGCTGCTCCGGGAACTGAGCGCTGCCCTTGAGCTGGCTTGCAGCACCTCTGGTTTACAACTCTCACTGGGCAAAGTGCCAGGGGGAGAAAACATTAGGCTTCTTTTATAGTTTCTCCTCTTTTCATTTCTGGAAAATTGGGGCCACTTGAGTCCGGCCGCTCCCTGTGGGGTTGTTAGCGCTGTAAGTCAGGCTTCCTCCAGCAGACGGCGCCCGAGGACACGGGAGGGAAGCGGAGCAGCTCCCTACCCCGCATGGCTGTTTGGGGAATGGGGTTTTGAGTTTTATTGGGTCCTATGGGTTGAGGCAGAAAAGTTTTTCAGGATTTTGTTCTGACTCATAAAAACAGAAAGTTTACTTAGAAATTCCCTGCCATTCAGCATCTGTGTCATATCCTAGGACATCCCACATTTCATTTTCTCCATACAGAAGTGTGCGCTGCGGTTCTCATGGTTGGTTCTCATTTCTTAGGCTAGGCCCGATTAGTCATGTGTGTATCTGTTATCTGAGGACATGTAGCAATATTCCCAAGGAGGGCTGACCACCCTTGAATAGGGTGGCAAAAGATGGGTGGGGACAGCCCACCAGCAACGATGAACTCAGCATTCCGGTGCAGTTGCAAGATGCTCAGGCCTTCCTTGCACTGCGGGTATGGCTTGTGCCCACCCCTTGTTGGGGAATGTTACAGAATGACAGTGGCAAACCCAGACAGGGGTCCACGTGGGATTTGGTCTCACTCTTTTTCTACCAGCCTCTCTTTGATGGTCTGTCTTTCTGTTCTGGTTTGGGAGTTCTGTTCAGAGTCTCAGCACACTTTTTGCCCAATGAGTTTCCTCTTTCCTCTTAAATGGCTTCCTTCGTTCAGTGCATACTAATGACCCTAAGCTACTCAGACATGAATTCGTGTGACTACCCCAAAGGTAGCCCATTTCCTTATTTCAGGAGCTTACCTCTCTTCTGTATGGTCATATATGTTTTATAGACCACATCGTGTCATACTCGGGGTGACTTCTTAGTTTTCCTTAGGGCAAGTCTAAGACTGTGTTGTAAGTGTTCGTGAGCGGGCACCCTATGCTTGCCAGTGTATGTGCTGCAGAGCGGGAAAGCTGCCAGATCCCTTGCTGAGATTTAGGTGGTGTTTAGGTTAACTAGACAGAGATGGGGAAAGTTAGCCGAGAAATTTGACCAGGGTCGTCTCAAATGGGACCAATAGGCAAAACATAATTTTTTGACTCGCTGATGGCATAAAATTATGTTATCTCCCAAAGAATTTTTGATAGTACCTTCTTGCTAGTTCAGTTCAACTCAACAAGAATGTTTTGGGCACCCACTGATATGAAAATCAGGGCTGTGAGTATGTATAAAAAATATAAAGTATGCCTGCCTTTAAAAATCAACAGCATGTCACTGTATGAATCGGGTGGCAAAGCAGCGAGGTATAAGGGTCAATGTCTCAGTGACAACTGCTGCCTTTTCCTCCTTCCTTTTTGATCCAAGTCCCGGCCAAGAATGGAAACTTGGTCATTTGGCCAGTGTGCTAGATCACTTGACTTTAGAAGCACTGCTAGTTGACCTGTCTAATCCCGGGGCTCAGATTCCTGTTGCAGTGTCCCTGTCAATACCTGTCACTCGCTTTCTTGGGATATCTTGCTGCAGGGTCTGTCTGCTAGGGTTGGGGAATTTGGCCTGGGCTTTGTGTCCAAAAGGGCCTTCAGATTTTTATATCATTACTAATCAACAGCACACTTGTATTATATTTGGATTGTGTGTGTGAGTAAAAAACATTCTATTTTTAAAAATTTAAATGTTTAGCACATGCATTTTTCTAGCCCTATTTCGACATTTCTTCCTTTTGTAAAATCCCATGTCCCCTAAGATGGGGCAGTGACCAGGGTGTCTCATGTCATCTGAGAGACCCTGCCTTGCCACACACAAAGCATCACCTCTTCATGGTCTGCAGCCCAAATGTTGCAAATAGTCCATTCAAAGCCTCAGAGATATCAGACTTCCTTCTGTGTAATAAATGTGCTTATTTCACAACAGGGAGCAGACCAGGCATAACTCTAAGTGTGTGTGTTGCGGGGGGATAAGGGGGGCGTGGGTTTAAGCACAAATTTGGCCTTTCTTCAAAACAGGAGGGGTAAGACAGGGCTGGCTCATGATAAAATTGAGAAATGGGCCAAGCTTGTCTTTGATGCTTCCTGCAGCCCTCACCCCACTGGCCTGCCAGGCTACCCCATAGGCTCAAAGGGGTCCCAGGTCACCAAGGAGCCTCAGCTTAGCACCTCCCTCAGCTGGCAGCCTGAGAGCCATTGTGCTGTGCCTGATCTATCTTTCTCTTCTACCTTAAAAGTTTGCAAAGTCCTTTGGGGGTATCAGTGCACATATGCCTCTGCTAGGGCACAGGGTATCTCAGGCATTTCCTGGGGACAGCACTGCTTTCACTCACAGGAGGGTATTCCTCCCAGGGAGAGGACGCTGGTGAGGGACACTTTTAGCAGACCTGCCAGGTGCCCTGCACACTGCATTGATGTGCACCTGGCCCTGGAACTAGTTTGGTTTTCATAACTGCTTTGCCTCTTTGCTTCTTTAGGTCCCCAGAGGCCAAAAGTGGCTGTTCTGCCCAGGCTTCCTTCAAGGCCAGCGGGAGACACACAGCTCCAGCAGAGAAGCCTGTGAGTGTCCTCCATGTCTTCCAGCCAGGATTGGATGCTTTCAACATGCACTTTTCTATAAATAGAAAGACATGGGTGCGGCGAGGTCCGCAGCGGACTTCGATGAAAGGGGTGATGACTGCAAGCACCAGGCTTTGCAGTGCCCGGCGGAAGGACTGAGGACTCGGCGTTGGTGTGGCGGGGTAGGGAAGAAGGGTTCTGCTAGGGACAATGTCTGCGTCATTCCTGAGAGCCGTCCCCGAAGTCCTCATGTTGGAAGTGTTGATCTATTCTAGGATCTGAGTGCCTTTCTTTCTGGCTCTTTCTCTTGACCTCTGCTATCCCTTAGAGTAGACTCACCCTGGGTGAGCAGCCCATTCCACGAATTTTGGGGTTTCTTTAACATTAGCTCTGTTTAACTGGGCCCCACCTGTCTGTCCTCAGCATTCCTACTGCATTCCCCACTCCAGGACCTCGAAGCCCAGGTGGGGAATCCTGTTCGACCCATCCCTCAGTGGATGACCTTCTCTTGCATAGGACAATCCACATTTCCTGCTGGCATGGGTTCCTTTTGCTTCTTTTTTTTTTTCTTCTGGCTAATCTATAGAATAATGTGGTTATCTGCATGAGACAGAAAGTAATTATGCTACTCTTTTCTGAATTGGGAGGGAATTGTTGTTACTTTCCCCCTCCGTGGCCCCTTGGCTGTAAGAGCCTGTTGTAGCCATGGCCC